CCAGTAGCAGGCTAAAACCTTTCTTTTAAGGCAAGATTTTAATGGAAAAAAGCTTTTAAGAGTGAGCCAGGGAGGGAGGTACACAATTATTTTAACTATTTTAAAGAATTTTAAATAATTTTAATTGACTTCTCTATTTAATTCTCCTGAACTGGATAACTCTATAGAGAAATTGCTGCCTTGCAAAAAAAGTGAGAAGGAATGCTCTCCTGCTTCTCTAAGAGCTATGAACAGCAATGAATAGCATAATTCAGCAAAACAAAACAATATTGTGAATTGTATCATAGTGAAAAAAGTCTACCAAATATTTATCTTATGGTTTTCTATTAAAGGGGGTAGCCAGAAAACAGCGGCACTGAAATTCCCCTCTGTCCTCTGTCTCAGCCACTTGTAAACATGCATTCCTTTGGCTGTGCTGCTTTTTACCTCCCTGGTTTATCCACACTGGACCACAGCTTTCAGCCCAGAGCCCTGGGTGGATCAAAGACTTTTATTATAAGTTACTACTGTATGAAAAGTTGTTTAGTCCAGCAGTCACAGCGGGAGACTGAGTGACCACATGGTCTCAGGTTATACCACAATCATTATCTAATATCTACAGTTAACACCCCCCCCCCCCCCCCGGGGAATGATGCTGCTTCACTGGAAGGTGCCTTAGCCTGGCCTGTCTGGGCACTCACTGAAGTATTATCTTAACCCTTTGATGACATGTTGATGATCTTCTAGTAACACATGACTTGAGAATAATTTTTCCTAAAGCATATAACTTCACCATTCAATTAACATTTTTTGGGGGTACAATTGACTGATATTGGGTCAGTAGTATACTTATTTTTTTACTATTTACAGAGCTTAATGTGTATTTTTAAGGCACAGCGTTAAGTAAAATAAACTAAGTGACACTCATACTTGCTTTTTGCAGTATATTGACGGATATAAAAATTTTATAATAAATAGTTACTGCACATTAATTTTTATGAGAAAATATCAATAAGACACCTCATAAAAACAGTTTTGTAAAATTTTCATAAAGAATTGTTGAAATACAAGAAATCATCACATAATGTATTAAAAATTTATCACTTAGAGAAAAATGTTCAAATTTGTAAATATTACATTTATCGGAACAAATCAAGAAAGATTTCCATTATTTCTATCAATATGACCTACCATGTTATACATGACCAAACACATTGCAACTAATTGTCAGGAATGCATAGTTTGTTGCATTCCTCCAATAGATGATGACAATATATTACTTTCGCTACCCCATTACAGCCAATTGCCAGGAATGTATACATCATGACAAAGCAAGCCAAGTTTTGCATTACTCTGCATATGAATGACAACCTATTATATAGTACATGTTGAGGCACCGTCATCTTTGTCAATAACCAAGGATCTAGTACC